ATTTCCTTCAATGAAAATAATAAAGGGCAAATGTAAATATTATTTTTTTATAACAGTGTAAATATTATACCAAGGCACTGTAAAATTAGATCGTACTTATGGCTTATTATTTATGAACGCTCTGCGTTATATATGAATTATTCATAAAAATATATCAAATATTTAACATGTGCAAATGTATACTGCATTAGTTTTTCTGAATTACTGGCCAAGGAATTCACATCATTTCATTTTTATAAACAGCAATAATTATTCTATTTCGTCAATCAACTGTAAATAATGAAAATAGTCAAAATACAACGTGCCGTATTTTAACGCTATCGAGATTTTTTATCGCAGACTCAACATCTTTATATCATGAATAATATTGAAGTCGTCGTTCCGCATTATACACATTTAGTATAGAAATAGACTCGTTACGAAGTATGAAAAGTGAACACACATTTAGAGCGATTCTTTTTTCACGTTTTATCTTATAAAACGCATTATTCGTTACGCCATATTCAACACCATTTTCAGATATTTGGTAATCTACTGATTGTCCATTAAAAAGTTAACGATTTAGATACAGTAACTCGTGGACAAGTATATACTTAACTGACAATTCGATCGATGGCATTCGGCCGCATTGTTATTCACACGCCAATTTACTATCGAAACTACTCAGAGCGATGGCGAAGGCCTGCACTGTACAAAGGGGAAATCGGTAATCCATCGTAAAAACGTCCTCTGCGACACGTCCAAACTGCATTACGACGTAGTCCACTAAAAAGAATTAATTAAAATAAATTCTTTAAAATAAATTGCAGAAAAATGACATAGACATTACATCACATACATTGTATGTAAGGTAAAAAAAACATTCAGCTTCGTCTTACCATCGCTATCATGGACTACTTGGAAATTCTTTACAGATGCTTGAGTTACTCGCCCATGAAAGTTAAGCACATAGGACTGTGTGTCGTCGTTCCATACAGGAGTTTTGTTATGTAGCTCTATCAGATTATCCATTTGTTTTAATTTCCATCGTTCTAGAAGCATAAATATATAATTTGTTATAAATATATTACTTAGAGTTCTAATGTAAGTAATTTAGTTTTATCTGTTGCAGTTACAGTTTCAACTGCGCTATATAATTATGTAATTTTTATTAGTAATTTTGAGTAATTAAACAATCATATAATTTTAAACTCTAATATGTATGAAATATATATTACTTCTTTTCACAAAACATTTTTGGCACGTAATTATAAAATATATATTTTAGCGTTTTATTAACTTATATAATATGTTAATATTACAATTATTATTACCAAGCAAAGTTTCTGATTCAACTCGCGGGCATATCTCCACTCGTTTTTGATCGGGCGTCATACCCGGTATAATTACTGTCATTTTACGAGGGCCTTTAAAACCTAAAACGTTTGTATCATACACCACCGCGGCTAATTCCTGTCGTGGATTGAAACGTTCGTCGCGTTTATCGTCCTTCATCAACGAATATCCATTGTCGTAAATTGTGAATTGTGTCCCCAGAAGATTGGATCGGAGTTTACCGACGTAAGATTCTCCTCCTCTCGAGAGATCTGTGGGATCGGTCGAAATCAAGTAATTGCTCGTTGCGCTTTTTTTCCTTTTTCGGCCAGCCAGTAGGAAAATCTGTAAATGCAATCGACATACTTGTAGAAGACGAACTGAAAATAAACGAATGGAAACATACCTTTTTCCCGTAATCACGCTCTAGATGCAAGAAATAAGTGGGATAAAGTCCACGGTCCATGCCTTTTCGATCGCGTGTTATTCTACACTTGTAATGCATTTTTTTATTTGCGGGTTGTAATACAAACTGTTCAATATTGCCTTCTACGTTCCCTTCCAATTCTGGACTCTATGAAATAACATCAAAGCAGTAATCATTGTTTAATATTCGTAAATCACAAATAAAATATTTATATAAAAAAACATATATAATTAGAATATATATGATACTTACGGAAGAATTGTTATCTCTACTAATAAGAGTATTAGCTCCTTCCGATGGAGCCACTCGAAGTGGTGAGGAACATGGCAGAGATTCTGAAGGCGAATGTAAATCTATAGGTGACGATTCCTCATCGGCACAATCAGTGCTTTGGGAACCTTCGTATAAACTTCTATCGTTGACCACTGCTACAAAAAATATTAATACTTAAATATTAGTGTAATTAATTTTAAACAAATAAAATTATATATATAATTATAATTGAACCAAGAAAATAATATCCTGAATTATTTTTGTATTAGTGATGTGATGTTCATAAAATGCTGGAAAACATCTACTATTTTTCTAATAGTACATACATATATAGATATATATATTTTACTTTTAAAAACAAATTTACCATTAATTGTCCCTTCACTGTTTTTTCTTACATCTTCTGTATAAGATCCCATTTCGGTATTTGCTTGAAACATAGCATATTGTAATGGACCATCATATGCTGCAAATATATTGAAATACCTTTATTAAGCTCTCTTGTGATATTATGAACAAAATATTGTATAAATTACATATACGATATTATATATTATAAATTATTTATTATATATTATAAATATTATACATCTAAATATGCAATATTATAAGTCTATAACATTATACTGGATTACAATTGTATTAGTTATGGACAATTATAGAATTATTTTATTTGAACACTACCATGAAGTTCCTTGTTTGGATTCATCCATTTATTTGAATGACTTGTAAGCTGTGCGCTAGATACATTGGATGCTTGTACCATTCCACTAGCGCCAGTTTGTCTCTTCTGCTTCATCTTCTGCGCGATCAGTTGCCTCTACATCAGTTAACAGACAACGTAAATAAACTATGACAAAGTGTTATTTATTAATTCAAAACTATAGATAAAAAATTATTAACTCAATTAAAAAAATATTTGTCCGAATAATAAATTAAAGTTAATAATTCATGATTTGCAATAAAATAATGCTAACTTTCAATTAAACTTTAAGTTTATAAAATATTTCTCATTTATCTTGGATAAGCATCAACCTATCATTCCATAAAGCCTAATTATTGTCATTTTTCATATAAAGGAGAATGAATATTGTGATCAACTCTGAAGGATTAAATGTTACATGATATTTCAGTACTAGTATAATCTCTACTAATACTGTGACCTTGCTCCCATAAATAGGAAAGAATTCGAACTAAAGTTGCCTATTATTAGCTGATAAATGTCATGTTACAAGCTTAAGCATTCATTAATTATTCATCCAAACAATGAGAGATATAGCTTGGATTTGTGTTTCTGGCTGCTTGCATGTTTAATACAATACATCATCAGAAGCCAATTTCTTTCGGATTTTTGATAAATTGATATCTTTTGAGAATATTGCAAGTGATGACTCTTCAAGTAAAATAAGTAGTTACACCGTACGAGAAGCACAAGGAGAAGTTACATGCTTCGAAATTTACGTATGGCAAATTTAAAAGTCTCGGTCCATCTACTACGCACAAAATCGCACCTGTTGTTCTAGCTTCTGCTGTCGCAAGTCGAGCGATGTCATTTTGCACGAAATTGGTTTATCAGGCGATGATCGACAAAGATGCGCAGCCACAAACCGCTGACACACCAGCTTTGTTTACGCCAACACACTCGTTCACCTACGGTACCTAGGCAACCGTTCGCCCCGAGCTCCTTCGTAGCTTTCAGGGCTTTTATGGCGGACTCGCAAAGTCGCAAAGCTGAAGAATGGCGTCCGATTAAAAACGGTCTCAGACGCACATCCCACAAAAGAATATAACCAATTGATCCTTTTGATTTTAGTTTTGGATATATTGGTTATATGGACAGTAATAAAAAGGTATTTTTTTTTTTATACATATTGCACATTTAAGAGAGTGAAAATTTCCCTTTGAAAAAATTAAAAATTTTAAATATATCTTTGAAACTATGAAAGATAAAAAGAAATGTTTTAAATAAAAATTGAACGATTTCAAGAATATTTCAAGAGTACTTTATAATAATCATTACAAAGAAATATATTTTAATGAAAAATTTTTTTATAAAAATAAATTTAAAAAATTTGTTTTAAATTACAATTATAAAATGCTCTTGAAATCATATTTAACTTTTATTTAAAATATTTTCTTCTATATCTCTTAAGCCTTGTGTCCACGATGCTAGAAATCGGTCCGAGATCTCGGATGAAGAAAGCATTGACCAATCACAATGGTCATGTGATCAAATTGTTCAAATGTGATTTGTTAATTTTTTCTCTGTCCAAGATCTCGGACCGATTTCTAGCATCGTGGACACAAGGCTTTATAGTTTTGACGATATTTTACTCTGAAAGAAAAAAAGTTAATTTTTTAAGGGATATTTTCACCCTTTTAACATGTAACTCAGCATGTATAAAAAAAAAAACATTTCTTATTTTTGTCGGCTGATGTAGAGTCCTAGATTTATCAGAGGCGCAACCGGCTTAAGTCAGTATGACAAAGGTGCTAAGGAGAGTACTAAATATGGCCGACATGCTATGAAACTGCCTTTAAACTATGTCAAACAAGATAAGACGTGTAAGATAATATGAAATAGAATGTATAGGATAAAATGAAATAGAAATATGTTACTAGTACTATAAATGGCTACCAAGTCAAGCAATTGGTCAGATTGCAACAGCGAATCAGAATGCACAACACCGGTTGCGCCTCTCTGATAAATCTAGGACAATTGCTGGATTCACACTGCATCCGATTTGTGTCGTACGATGCTCTGCAACCAATCAAAAAACAGGATTCCGATAATAAGAAGCAAAATCCATCGGAATCTTGTTTTCTGATTGGTTGCAGAGCGTCGTACGACGCAAATCGGATGCAGTGTGAATCCAGCATATTACCCGAATGCCCTCCTGTATCGTTTTATCCTTATTGTTCACCCAATGTTGCCCAATGTTAAATAAAGATAAGATGATACACAGTGGCACCCGGGTGATGTTTCCAAACGCAATCTCCGTCAGTAGCTTGTGCTGTTATCAGTTCAAGAATTTATGCATATTTTACTGATATTTATTTTATTAATATAAGCAGCAATGACAGAAATAATCGAGTTACATCCTAATAAGAGTTCGATAAATTCATCTTTTGAGAAATATCAATTTTTCAATGAGGTTATTTCTATAATTTCTGAAAACAAGCTAAGAAATTGTAAGTATAAATATAAAGATGCAATGAAATATTATACATACAATTATATATTAGCAAACAATCAAAGAGTGTAGGATCTTCTGACAAAAGTATGTTTCAGATGTATACAGATTAGAGCCAAATCATAATCAAGAATCCTGGCTGGAAGCAAGGCTCTTTGCTTTTCATAATCATTTATTTAACAATGTGTATGACATGTCATGCTGGTTCATTGATGAAACTTTAGCTGTTTGGCGTCTGGATGAGGATGGTTCCTTGGATCAAGTATATAAATTACATACACAAGATACAAGCTCATCAGAAATAACATATAATCCATCAATTGGATTTACTTCGAATAATATTGTGGCAATTTCTGATGGTGGTGGAAATCTACATATATTGATAGGATGTACAGAAGAAAATAGGAAGGTTTTTCCAGTAGCTCCTGAAAAACCAGGAATCATCATGAATGTTCAATATATAGAAAAAAGTTTCAAAATTATTTTAACTATATGTGCTATTGCTACAGATGATAATCAAAAGAAATATACACAGCTTATATTATTATCATATGGTTTGCATGTGGAAAATGAAATAATGAAAATATATAACATAGATAAACAGCTATTGAAAGTACAAGGCACAGTAGACTATGTTTATATAGAAGAAAATGGAAATTACTTGCATTCTATTTGTCAGGATAACATTGGTTTCGAGAATAAAAACTCACAACAAACTGAAACTGAAATAGAAAAACCAAGCGTCAGTTCGCAAATAAAGATTCCAAAGTACTATTGGTCGCAAGACGAAGAATCACTTACTGTTTGGGTTAAAGTACCAAAACAGCATAGTAATAAACGACCTAAAATAAGCATCAAGCCGTTAGAATTATCTGTTATAATAGATAACGAGATATTAATACAAGGGGAATGTCAATATAGATTGGAGGAGAATATGGCAACTTGGAGGCACAAAGAAGATACATTGCAAATTGATTTAAGCAAATATGAATATGGATTAATGTGGAGTGAATTAATTAAAGGTGACACTGGAGGTGAATGTCTACCCAATGAGACTCTTGCTGCAGAAATTCATGCTAGGTACTTTTTATTATACAATTGTTACACATATACATACAGCTTTAAGCTTAGAAGCTTTAATTTAACTACATTAACATTTTACTTAACATTTCATATAATATCTAATTATTTTAAAATTATTTTATTCCATTATATTTTCAACATTATATAATGTATCATTGTTTACACAGGCTAGCACATTTATGTACAGATCAACAAAATGACAGTGTTGGAGGGGATCAACCTTGTGTGGGGTTTAATGCTGAACAATTAGAAGAGTGTGATTTGGAAGGAAAAGATAAGTTTTTACAAAGGATTAATCTTCTTACACAGGCAACCACACATCTAGCTAGATTGGGAAGCAACAATCATGTGTTATTTACATACAAAAGAAAATATGGACAAACAGTGTGCCTAAGATACGATCATGATGCCTGCATCTGGGAAATGGACAATGGGAACGATAATACTCAATGGAATTTGCAACATGTCCATAGCTTTCCTGGATTTGGCTATGTCGAAGCAAGCAAAAGCAATAAAAAATTTTGTGTATCTCCAATTGGTAAGCCAGCAGAAAAAATTTTTAAATATATCTCTGTCTAATAATAAATAATATTATATTAATATTATTAATATTATTATATTAATAGAGTATATATTGTTGTTACAACTTTTCTTTATTTGCACATGTATTGTAGAGTATATTATATTTTTATATTAATTTTTTTTTTATTTAACAGTATCAATATAACTTATTTTATAGATGGTTCATACATAGCTATAGTGGAACATACACGACATGTGTTCCTATATGAGAGACCTGATGTTGGAGCAAAGTCCGCCAAACAAAGAATTATTGATCTTGATTGCCAAGCTTCTCCCATTATGGGTGTCGTTGCTACAAAGAAATACCTGATTGTACTTTCGAAGGATAAATTATATCGTTTACAAATCCGTATGTGATAATTGTGCTATTCGTATTTTTTACCGGCATAAATAAAACAATTACAAACACTTTTTAATCACGTATAATGATTGTATATGACAGAGTTGCTAGAAACTGGAAAATCTGAAAAAATCAGGATTAAACCATTTTTTATTTTTAAAAATATATTTATAATTTTTAAAATATATTTTTAATATTTGTAGCCAAAATAAATTTTAACGCTTATTTCGGTTCGTGGGGCAGAGTGATGCTTTTTCTCGACAAATGCGATTGGTCAATTTCAATGGACTAATCGTCGTTCAAAGTTGATGGCTGCGTTCAGCAGACTCAGGTCCAGTTGTTCCATCTTTTGGTAAATTTTACCTGTCGGATAAGTAGCAAGATTACCCAATTACATGCGTGGATTAGCATATTTACCTAACAGGTAAAATTTACCAAAAGGTGGTACAACCGGCCCTCAGGCTGCGGTCCACTTGCTTCTTCCAAATGCTCTGAACGTCACGCTCCAAACGCTACGCTCCGATTGGTCCATTACTATTTCGAATGCTACAATTGCTACGTGAACGCTCCAGCCAACCCACCTCCCGAGGTGAGGCAGTTGAAGCGAAGTGGGAGCAAAAACGATGACGTATTGATGACGTAATCAGAGTTGATAGGAGCGTTCTGAAGCATCAAATGGACCAGTCATATCAGTACTACAAATGCTCTGTTGTGCGTTTGAAGCGCTAAGTGGACCGCAGCCTAAAATGTTGATGACGACCTAACTCAACCGACGCAATGTCGCATCTCTGGTATCTAGGCCTCTAAAGCCTTGTGTCTACGATGCTAAAAATCGGTCCGAGACCTCGGATGAAGAAAGAATTGACCAATCACAATGGTCATGAGATCAAATTGTTCAAATGTGATTTGTCTTTCTCTGTTCGAGATCTCGGACCGATTTCTAGCATCATGGACATCGGGCTTAATCGAGATCAATCGAGATCCTTGCAATAATTACACGGCGTGCAACTGCGCTGCTCCCTTTTTAAAAAAGAACAGACCTTATGAGTGACCAATCACAGCCGAGAGCTGTCCAAAATGGCATTCTCTAATCTAGTGGCTCCCGCTAGCTCTCGAGAATATTGGTGCGCTTCAGCGGACTCAACAGTTGAGTGAGCGCTCACTGTTATTGGTGTATTCTTCTAAATCTAAAATTCTGATTGGATGAGCTAAAAGAATACACCAATAACAGTGAGCGCTCACTCAACTACTGAATGCGCCCGTTCACATCGTTTACATCTCTAGTCTCGAGAATTCGAAAATTTGTTAACCAGTTTTGCGTCTCTCCATTTTTTAAAAAGCGTTTCCTCCTTCGAATGTGCATTGTGTCTTGATTACATTATTTATTTCGTCCTATTCACCGGTTTGAGGTGCCCGGTGTATCATACTTCGATTTCACGGTTTATTTATGATTCTGGCCGGAATCGCCGCCATTTTTGCGGCGAGTGCCATCAATTTTGAAGAAAGTTTGGCGTCTCTCTCGTGATAAGTTTAGGTTTGTTATTTAAAAAATCAAGTAATATTTAACTCTCCGAGCTTTGTTGATTAATATAAAAAGTAAAGTTTTAGTTTGAAGGTATTCTGTACTTTTACGTGAAATATGGATGACGAAGATGAAACATATAAATTGTGGCGTATCAGAAAAACCGTAATGCAGCTGTGCCACGACAGAGGTTATCTTGTCACGCAGGACGAGTTGGATCAGACGTTGGAACTGTTTAAGGAACAATTTGGAGATAAGCCTAGCGAGAAAAGGCCGGCTAGGAGTGACCTTATTGTTCTTGTGGCGCATAATGATGATCCTACGGATCAGCTGTTCGTGTTCTTTCCGGACGAACCAAAAATTGGCATAAAAACCATTAAAACATATTGCCAGCGGATGCAAGAAGAAAAGATACACAGGTTATTTTTCATATTATAATATTCTATATCTTCCTCAGTCGTATTGCTCGTGGCTGAGCGTGGTGTCTTCTCTCATATACCTGTGGTGCGCACTCTGGTTGTACACAGTCATATGGGACCTACAGTTTAACATTGATTTCAAACAACAAAATTTTATTAGAGAAGTGCTCTTGGCAAGGGTACTCTCGGTGGTTTGCCATTGCCTTCCGAGAGGAGTTACAAGCGTTCGAAAAAATGTTTTGGTTGTGCCTGGGTTCGAGCTGTCTGCTATGCCATGCTCGCACTCAATATTTTATGTAATATATTTATATAATTAGTATATTTTATATAAAGAAATGTTGATTCTTACATAAAATTGATTAAGATTCACCTGATACTTCAGTCACACACAATTTTTATCTTTACATTCGACATTGATTAAAGCCTTATGTCGATGCTAGAAATTGCTCCAAGATTTCAAAAAAAAAAAATAATAAACAAATCATGTTTGAACAATTTAGCCACATAATTAATGCAATTGGTCCATTCTTTCTTCATCCAAGATCTCAGATTAATTTCTAGTATTGTGGACACAAGGCTTTAAAACCGAGACATACACGAAATTAAGATTACATTTGGGACTCGTCAACTACTAGTCAACTATTCTCAAATAGAGAGTCATCCATAACAATTCACTTATATTTCATTTTTATATAATTTAGCAATACATCTTCATAAGAAGAGTATTGTGATTCAATCTAAATAATTATTGCTGTTAATATTATATAAATTTGAGATTTTATTTCAACATTGTTAGATACCAAATAATATATTCATATTATTGCATTTTATCTTAATATTTCAAGAAATTACAAGGCTTTATTATTGATTATTACAGAGCAATAATTGTCGTCCAGCAAGGCATGACACCATCTGCTAAGCAATCGCTGGTAGATATGGCACCGAAATATATACTGGAACAGTTTCTAGAATCTGAATTACTGATAAACATTACCGAACACGAATTAGTACCCGAGCACATTGTCTTAACTCCGGACGAGAAAGAGGAACTATTGACAAGATATAAGCTAAAGGAAAATCAACTGATGCGAATACAAGCTGGCGATCCAGTAGCACGATATTTTGGTTTGAAACGTGGACAAGTTGTTAAAATAATCAGATCGTCAGAAACCGCAGGAAGATACATATCCTATAGGTTGGTTTGTTGAGGAGGGAAAGGAAAAAAGAGTAAAGAAGAACAAAGACTAAATCGCGAAAGTCTCAGACTAAAAAAAAAGAGATATTTATTAAAAGGTAAAAAAAATGCAGCTCGAAATTTGACATTTATTGTGGCAGCATTTTATAATGGTGCATCGTTTTGCATCTAGCATTATAATATCTGCAATTATACATTATTATGCTATGTATGAAATAATCTGTCGCATTGAGTGTTAAACATTGTACAGTTAGCAGCAATAAATAATTACAGTTCTCACACGTGGATACACGTCTCTAAAATGTGTTCTTACCTTTCCAATATTTTAATGCACTATTGGCAATTACATGCGTAAAATATTTCGTTTGCAAGGTTCATTAGCTCACACTTATAATCAATATTAGGATATAGTTTTAAGTTTTATTACAGAAACAACGATCGGTACAAAAAAGACTGCGACTTCCAACAGTCGCTCGCGATTATCTGGCTTGGGTAGACATTGTTTCAAGTTATTATTATTATTATTATTATACATTGCTTGGTCCAAAAGTATCGTTCTATATACGGTACATTCTGACGTAAAAGTATATCAGTAGCAGAATTTCCTTTCTTTCAGTGTATAGTGATTTAATTACTTCATCAATTAATAAGTGACAGTCGAGTGATTCATCCATTAATAACACATACACATTTTTTCAAGTCTAATTGCATTTATTCGTAGAATACTTTTTTTAATGACTTCTCTTATTATGATATACTGTTTTCTCCTCTTATCCGTTTTCTTGCTTATTAATAAGATTCAATTTGCACGTGAATTGAATCAGAAGCGTAATTAGCAGTCTATTAACGCAATTAAATAATCGTATACTTCTTGATCGAAGAAATATAATATTGCAATCTGAAACATGCTTAAACTCTGATAACTTAAAGGATAACTTTTGAAAAAGCCTTCCCCGAATTCAAATTCTACTACGTAATTCCTATTAAATCTTATTCAAATCTAATATTTAATCTTAGCGTTTTGATCCTACTTATAGATGGGAGTCGAACATCGTTTATTAAAGCCGGCGGAATGACATCGATTGTGAGATGCAAATTTCCGCTTTCAGAATTTATCGCGGTCGACTGATAAAGCTAAAAGCGTACGAGCAGGAAGTTTCCCAGATGGCATATTCGCTAGCGTATAATGAACAGGCAGATCAACCAATCATTCGTTCTATACTTGTTACAATAAATGAAATCACATGCTATATAAGCGGCAGCAGTCGGCTAGCATAAAGACAGCTTGCTACTGGTATAGCACGTTACTTCGTGATCCAAAGGAATAATCATTATCGTTGGGCACAAGTAAACAAAGCACACGCGACCATAATTAATATAATATATTGTTATCAATAAAATGTAACATAACATTAATAGTCATAATAATAATAACCATAAAAGATAATAATAATAATAATTACAGAATAATGCTACGAAGTTCTGTGCTTTACGCAATAAGTAAAGAAAAAGTATAGAGTCCTCAAAAAGGTTTACAAAAAAAGGAAAACAAAAATATACATATTCAGTTATCCTCGAACGCGATTCCCATTGCAGGCGGAGAGAGACCGCGCGAGAGACCCTTAGATCCTTGGGGATATCCATTGATACTTAGAGATAACTCTTAGACAAAGGATCATTGTAAACTGTTAGAATTCTATAAATGCTTGAATCCTTAGATCCTTAGGCATCTTTTAGGCATTTTTTCATCCCTAGACGTTCGTAAAAGCATGAATTCTTCAATCCCCGGATAATATCAGAGATCTTCGGATCCTCGGATATCGTCAAACATCTTTAAATACTCAGATCGTCCTTAAATTCTAGATGTTGTTATATCCTCATGTTTAGATGTTTCGATGTGATATCGATGTGATATCGATGATTTTCTCTTTCTCTTTCTTTTTCATCGATTAAATAAACGCGACGTTTATTCTTCGGTATTCAAGGATTTTGGTGTTAGGATAAATTCGATTCATTTTTAGTCGTGTTTACTTAGAAGACTTTTCGGCGTGACCACCAGTATACTTTAGTGGCCCATTCGATAGGTGAGGTTTGTAAAATATTGTTTATCAAATCCGCGGCAACTCGGATCCTGTAAGTGATAGAGGTGGGATAAGGCGGCCACTGTTCCCAATAACGGCCTCTGTGCGTTCGGCCATATGAGGCCTGAAAAATTATACACAAGTTAATATAATATATATTAATCATAATGTATATTAATCATGTATATTAATATAATAATGATAATGTATATTAATCATTCTAAATAAAAGGTGTATAATGATAAAAAAATATCAATAATGGAGAAAGAGGAAATACAAAAAATTAAAGACATATTTTTTATTATACAATAATGATGTCATATATTTTTTTAATATCCTCAATCTTTCTTCTTCATATCTCATTTATAATGGCGTACATATTTTTTATATAATTGTAAGAAACTTATTAACCAATAAGATGAAATTTGTATTAAAATATATAAAGAAAAAAATAGATATATTTAAATAAAGATAAATTGCAAGAATTTTCTTACCTAGGAGTGGTATGGCGTGACATAGGTGGACGGAAAAAGTCCCCGCCTATTTCCGATTTCTCCATGCCACCAATGCTGATCTGTACGATCTGTGACAGTAATTACATCTCCTCGTCGGAACTCTAATTCGCCAGGCTCTTGCGGTGCAAAATCGTAAAGTGCTTGTACCAAACACTGAAAGTCATGATAAATTAGTTTTAGATTATGTATTAAAAAACACATATATATAAATAGATATCAATAAAAAAGAACAATTTTATCACAAAACGTTCAAATCTGCTGTTATTATAAAGACAATAATTATAATGTCAATTTTTACCTCCTCAGGGACCATATCACGCAGCTTAACATCCTGTGAGCGAGAAACAGACGCTGTACGATGATATTCCACCAGTTCATTAAGGCTGTTAAATTTGACAACCCATAAAAAGAACTTGCCTTGTGCGTCTCTTAATACTTTGAAATGCTGCACACCGTCGGAGCATCTGTATATATAAATTATAGTTATTTCATTTTATATCTCGTTAATAATTAATAATAGTATTAAAAAACAATTATTTTTAGTTTGTAAAGATCCTTAATGGGGAATGGATTTTCTATATATATAACTGCAATTTCTATTAAAATCTATGCTGAATATTTCTCATTTGTCACAAAAATGTCAATAACTATAATTAGATACGTATTATTTATCTAATATAATACTCACTTTACGGATAAGGAAAAATCACCAGGAGAGCTTTCACTGATTCTGATCAGAAAGGCACCTTCATGTTTGTTCATCAATAATCTTTCAGCGTCTGCTCTGGTTATCCTGCCATAATACCAACTGCAGCAGATAAGACACAGAAAATAATTAGTATACAAGATTATACGTGAATATATTTCTATAGTTATAGAATCTTTAGAATAGTTTCTGTCTCTAATACATAAACATATCATACAATAATAACATACTCATGGCTCTTCATCTCGATGTAATTACTCGGTATAAGTCCTTCTCTAGAATCCAATTCAGCTCTATACCAATTCATATCATCTTCCATATTTAGAATCTGCAAAAAAAATGTTACATGTAAGATAATTTTTAATTTAGATTTATAAAAATATATATAACATTTCAATATTAACTGCACATTTAATATTTTTATATTAACATTTTGGAATTTTAAACAAAGAAAGTAGAAACAGCATAATTTTATTTAAATTGAAAGGGGAAAAAGTTAACATCTCTTATACAATTAATAATGGAATTTTATAATTATATATCACATTTTATAATTTAAAAAATTGAATATTTTATTAATAATTGGGGGGCTATAAATTCTTTTAAAAAATAAAAATCACAATTTGATAAATAATTTCAATTTTCAAGGACCTGGATATAGTGAGTACAAAAAATTTTTGTATAAAGAAATTTGTTTATAAAAAAGCCTTGTTTGTAGAAAATAAACATTAATTAACAATTTTACACAATGAATACATTCTGTTCTAACATAAACAAACGAGCTTCGCATGTATTCCTGATTTTAAAAGCTCAATTTCTATACGAATATTTTTTAAGCATCCAAACAATACAATTTTCAATTTTTGCTTATTTTTGAGATAATATATTTTCTGTTATACATCTTTTTGGTATAAATAATTATGAAAAATGTACACTCAATTTTATTCTTTATAAATAAATTGTTAATTCAGCAAGAAATTACCGTTAATTGAACGTTGAATTTGTGTCGAAATCATCGTACCGATATCGCTTCGACAATTCAATGAGTCATTTCTCGCTGGATGTTTACTTTTTAAAAATAAGGTTTCTGTTTTTAAATTATTTTCTCTGTAGAAATATTTTTTCCACTCATTGTATATCTAAACTTCCAAGATATTACAATTTATGTCATTTAAGAATCTTACTGTCAAAATTTAATTGAATCTAATGTTATTGTTACATTAAAAAATAATATCAACAATGCATAATAAATTATTTGTAATTTTAGATTGAAATTTGTAAAAAAAATGTTTTCATCGTTTCTTATAATTAGTAATAATAAAACCTTTTAAACATTTTTATAGGGAATTATTATTAAATTATCAGTTATTAAAAAATTATTATGAAATAATTTTTTCTCAAAATCAAAATACAATGATCGCATTCACACTTAATAGAAAGCAAAATTAAAAATAGCCTTCAACAAATATTTTAAAAAATATGAAATTTACAATGAATCTGATACATATAATCTTCTCTCACTTTCTTTCCTTTTTTCATTTTTTAATCTTTGCAGCACAAATATATATATGCTCAATATAAGCATTTTTATACAGAGGAATGTGTCGAGACACAGCTAAAAAGAACATATTCACCAACAGCGTTACTTTAATCCTTACGGCAATCATTGTCGTTATTGCTCCAAACAATAACAATCGTTATTGCCTCGAGCAATCTTCATAGAATGTTTGTGTCACATATACGACAGCTTTCTGAGCGCAGTGAATGCCGATCGACGGATTTATTCGTCATGTATATACAACACCTCTTGTATTTTTTAGGACATCGGTCGACGGACGAGCGGCACGACGGTGGAAGTTTCGGGATCGGCCGGAGGTCTCGTGACTCGTGACCGCGGCGCGACGCGACGAATACGGGACGGAACGAGGCGCGAGGCGACGCGAGGCAACGCGCCTCGTCAGGGCGTCGGATGACGAACCAGGTGACGGGGATAGGGGTCGGGCCAGGTAGCCATCTCCAAAGTTCTACCAACCTTCAGGACCTGGCTCCTGCGGAAGCTGAGCTCGTCCTCGGCGGGCGCCGTGAAGTCGTGCTTCGCTATCGCCTCCATATTCTGTCCTCCGAGACGACGGAGTCGACGGGAAACGACGTGCCGCTGCTGCTGGAGGGAGCGAGAGGGCGCTCGCTATACGATGCTCCGTTCCGTACCGTGGAGAGAAGAGGAACGGACTAACGGAGTGCCTACGTTCGCGAGGGAGTGCACTTGAGGAAGGAAGAGGAAGGGGGTCGCGGGGGGAGAGGGAAACGGAGGTAGATGAAGAAGAAAACAAGAGAAAGAGGAAAGGTGCTCACTTGCTCGTTGTGCGGGCGCGTACGCACGCGAGGCGACGCGTATTTATTTTATTTTACGAGCACTTGCTATATGGAGAAAAGGCGAGACTCGCCGGAGCGACTAGATATGAAGTTTAGCGAAAAGACGATTATCGAAAGTCGCTAAAAGGATCGAGGACCGTACACAAAGTACAGAGAGAAAGAGAGAGCTATACGTGGTACATACGAGAAATATATGTGAGATTTCCGCTAGATTAAACGCGTAGGAAAAAAAGGTGGATATAAAAGAGATAAAAAGGGTTGATATCGATGAAAGAGAGAGAGAGAGTGCTCGGCGACGCCGACGTCGCCGTCCTTTGTCCTAGCGCTGGTCGGGCGGTGGTCCGTCCAAGGCTAAGGATATTGTACTCGTACGTCTATGCACGTCCGTGTGCGTGAAATCCCCGGATACAGGTATAGGTGAGCTGCACTGACGCGCGCGTACGTACGCACGCACACAGCCGTTACGTTCCCCGATGGATTCCGTTCTCGTTTGATGCCTCCAGACTTAAAGCCTCGGCATCGTATTTACTTTTATGTACAACACCGCGATTCGTACTCCACGACGGATCGTACACCGCGAACTGTCAAAGGTGATCGCGTGTACTATCGCGACAGTCCATCGCCGAATGTAATCAGACGTTACACTTGTCCCGTTCGGGACGATTCGGCTCGGCTCGGCCGTCGCTCGGCCGACTTCGGCCCCGCTCGACCGTCGCTCGGCCGACCTCGGCCGCGCCCGGCCGTCTGCGCGGTACGCCACCGCGCACACGCGGGTGACGTCACGTGACGTTGGGGCCACCCTACGCCAGACTTCAGAGGGGTGGGACACGCGCAGGGTGGTGCGCGATTTACACGTGTTTCTAATGATGGCGATTTTTCAGCAGTTTTTTAACGCTTACGTCAGTTATCTCGTGTGACGTCAGACGCGGAATCTAAACGTCAGAGGGAGAGAGGGAGAGGGAGAGAGAGAAGAGGGAGGAAATTATTAGGAAACACGCGCGGTTTCTGGAACTTGCGTCACGGTAGATGAGACTACGTGATCTTGCAGCAGGAGATCATCGACGGCGGAGAAACTCTTGCAAAAAGAAGATAAAATGAACAAAGCCGGATTTTTCTAGGATAGATTTCTCTCGCTTTTCAGCCAACGCAGCAATCGCCGTCGCGTTTAAACTTTGCGTTTGCACGTACAACGTGATAAAAAAAGTTCGTTTTTATTTGTACACTACAATTAACTTTCCTTCTTGCATTTGCTTTCAGCAAATTTCAAACAAATAACGTATTTCACTTTAAATATAGAAAGTGTATAGTTCAATTATAAAAACGGACTTTTATTTTATGCAACATGAAAATTAAATATATAAATAGATTTCGAAATTACTTTAATTCGTGATTTCGAGTACATTTTGTAAGAATTCTTCAAGTTTGTTTTTTTTTTTTTTTTTTATGAAATCTATAACGCATGGTACATTTTCAATTTCGTTAAAATTTTAATCACGTTACATGTAAATTTCGAAAGTGTGTGATTTGGCGCCGGTATTTAGAACGGACTTCACTTGTTAATATGCGCATACACTTTTTATTGTATTTCGTATTCCACGCCAGTTTTTCAACCTTTATCCATCTAATCAAATATGTAATCTGATGCCGAGGGCAGCCGAAGTCGTACAAGATAAGTGCGATATTATCCGAGCTAAAAGTCTCCTTGAAAGAGAGAGAGGGGGAAAAAAAGAGAGAAAAGAGCACAAGGATCTAATGATTATATCCGTCATGACACATCCTGTATTTCCAATACGAAAAACTTGCTAGTCGACTTTACGAGATATAGTTTCACACAAATCGCATTTAAAAGCGAGAAAAGTTTTCTTGAATTAATATATAACTGGCTAAATGAAAAAATATATATGTATATTTCTATACAGAAACTATTCGAATTTATTTGAATTAAACATTGTCTTTGTTCGGATTTTTCACACAAAATTTTGCGCGGAGAAACATAATGAGTAAAAATAATTAACAATAATTAACGATAATTTTACAACTTTTTTTCACTAAAAATCGAGCACGTATTTAAGTAGAAAAAAAAATTACAACATTAAAATGACATTAGAATGGTTTCAAGAACAAAAACAAATCACGACACTCTAAAATAACATAAAAATAATTTCAAAATAATTATTAAAAATAACTTATCGATCAGTCATAATTTATACTTTAGCATCATTTTACTTTTTCATGACCTGCAGTTGTTCTGTTTTACAATTACAGGCAATCGCGAGTCGGAAGGTGGCGCCATCTTATCCGTCGCGCTCGCCACGGCGGTCGGTAAGGAAGGGAACGATTCGCGTGACGTGACAATGAACAAGTAGTACATCCCGCAATTCTAATGCAGTACGAAACAGGCGACGTAGTACGAAAATAAACAGAACACCTCGTGTTTACGGAAGTCCGTAACAGGTGTTTTTCACCCCCTCCGCCTCTGCCGCCCGCCGAAGCCGCAGCCTCCTCCGCCCTATGTTGAAGTGATGGGGGAAGGGGATAGAAATGCAAGCGAAGCCTGTCCACATTCGCTTACGTAGGCATTGCTAGGCACTCGTCTCGCGTTCCTCGGCGCAAACCCGTCGGCCGTTTCGGTCACGGATGTTTGAGTCCTTGGGCACTGAGAGCACGTTTGATGCCAAGAAAACCTCGGCATTCCTCCTTAATCCAAATCCTTTCGGCATTTTTGCGAATCCTCCACCGCTCTTGTCGTGTTTATGCAAAATCGCAGACTTGAAAACGATTTGGAATTATAATCTTCGTTTTTTTGAACAATAGAAAATTGTCGTCTCGACTGGTGAGACGTTTGAAACGGGTTGTATGGAGGAATTCCTAGGTCAGAGAGACTCACGAGAGACATAATTTACGAAGCTCCTCTTGTTTTGTTATTTAAATTCCTCGTGGAATTTATTATCCTCGATGATATGTAGATTGCCGCTTGGTCTTTATCGCAATGTGAAGTATTCCTAAACTTTCCTAAGATTGCTCATCACTCTCGAGAACGATTCTCGGTAATGAAACTGAAGGTGACTTAGATTCGTTTTCTTTAATTCTACATGTATAAAAAATTGCAACGAAAGGATTCCCGCCTTCAAGAATTTAAATTTTTTTGTAATCTCCACTCGTGTTTTAAGAATGTCTACATTTGAATATTTATATAATGAAACGCGTGACGAGGCGAAACGAGCTGTGGCGATCAAACAAATCTGAATTCAACCGCGAGAGGTCGAATAGAGAAAACAAAGCTCCTTTGTAAATAGAACTTGCCAGGTGCGAGTGTTCTTTATAAGTTATTTCACGAAAAATAAAAGGTCCATGAAACACAGGAGAAACGTCGTCCTCCGTGAGGCTTTCCTAAGCACCTGCACAGGTAGAAGCCAGGTGCAGCTGCAATATAACCTCGCATCACGTTGCAAAAACTTAACGAACACTCGCCAAGATACGTACGAGACGTATAAATTTTCGCAATCTAAACGCGTGTGACTTTAAGGTCCAGTTGTGGTTAAACTAGACAATGTAAATTGTATTTTTTCTACTTACGTTAAAAATCACTAAACTGGTGATTTTATATTTAGACCGCATGCATGCCTAAAAGACGTTCTAAAGGCATCATAAGGGCATCTTTTTGGGATATATTTAAATAGGCTTTCTACGAGCCATTATCTATAGCCATTATTTAAGTCTTAAATCACATAAGAAATTGACCAATCGATTATTCTTCTCAAGTTCGACTCTTCAATTTCTTACGGCTTAAGCTTTAAAGCTTACGTAACGGTTCTTGTTATAGAATGTGTTAAAGATATCTAAAACACATAAAGAAGTCTTCTAAATCTAAACGAATGCGTGTTGTTTGGATAGTGAACAGCTTTTAAAGTTACAAAATCATCACTTAGTGATTAACCATAACTAAAAGAATTTCTACAATAAAAATTGTGCTTTTCCGATTATGTTAATATCACTAAACTGGTGATTTTAGAATGAGTAACTTTGAAAGTTACCACATCACTTTAGTGATTAATCATAGCTACAAAAACAATTTTTATATTAATAATCAAAATTAAGTAAATTTAATTGTAAACCTAAATCCCAAGTTAACCAGAAAAATCGAGCATAAAATAAACGTCCTAAATATATCTAATTTAGGGAGAAATTAAGGGCAATAGTTAATACTCTTTAATTCCTCCCTAAATTACGTATTTATCTACTTAACGGATATCGAACGTATCCGAACGACGCCCTCATGCAAAAAGGATGAACTTTCGAATGACGTTGGAAAGACCCGTCGGGTCAATCTATTTGCTTTATTTAGAGTTCTGGAACGTCCTCCTGGCCGCTTATCAGCCATCCCGGATCTCGAAAATCCGCTACAAGCGCAGCGGTTGATGCGATCATAAAATTCGTGGAGTCGGTTATATTCTAGGAGGCGCGTGTGCGCGTCGGGCGAACGGCGAGCCGTGAATAATTCAGTGACAACGACGACGACGACGACGACGACGATGACGATGACGATGATTCGACGAATCGTCGGCGACGATTCCGAACAAGCTTGTGCGAGCCCGGAGTCAAAGGACAAAGATTGCGCCGCCACGTCGCAATTCGCGTCGCGCGGCTCGCGATCAGCCCAGGGGACGGTCGTACAGTTCGCGCTAATGAACCAGCAAGCCTTTTGTGCTGCTTTTATTCTCTTACGTCATCAAACCCGTCGGTGGCGACGGCGACGGCGCGACCTGGCCGCGTTCTCGGAACACGGCGCGCGTTGGGACGTCCCGGACGGTCCGCGAGGGTCCGACCTCTCGCGGCCTGTTCTGGAAACGCGCCAGCTAATGTGTTTTTCCTCTGATGCCAGGCGTTTTGCAGGCGTTCCTGGTTGACGCGAGCTGCACGGACGTGCGCTGAAAGAAACACGAATTTCGACGCCCGGAACGAGTCGAGGCTTCATCGTCGAACGATATGTTTCCTTCGCTTTTTGGCGTATTCGAGCCGTTTTCCGAGGCACTGGAAATCGAAATACAGCGTTGCAGACACACTCGCAGTCGTGGAATAAAAAAAAATTCCGTAGCTGTAACATCCATGCGTGAGACACGCGTGTAAGACGAAAAAAAATAAAAAATGATTTATCCGCGTGCAATAAAAAAAACGATTAAGAACACCGCCGTTATCTTACATTACTCAGAAATGTTTGGAAAAGATTATCGTTATCTTTGCGTAGAACGCAGCTGGAGATATGGCCTTCCTGAAAAAGTGAACTCGTTTTTTAAAACTGATACCCCGGCGACATGGAGATGATGCATATAAATTACACAAATATTAAAGCTATAGCACACAAAGAAACTTAAGCAGTAAGACTTAAGCAATAAAGAAATCAACATTATGATTGGATTTATTATTCATTACGTTATGGCCTGTTTACGTTTTACTGCTTAAGTGTTTTGTGTGTGCCATGACCCTTACTTTAATTATTAAATAATCAAATATAAGAGACACTTTCTAATTTTGCAATATCGTAATTTTCACGACAATTTTATTTTAAAGTGCTCTTCAGCGAAGAAATATTTTGAAAGACACTGGAAAATAATATTACTAATACTGTGTTTATAATTTATTAGTAATAAATTTTACGCAATTTATAAACAGATAGTCGT